ACAGGGTACAGGGTCTCACTATGTACTTTAGGCTGGCCTTGAATTCATAGTGATCCTCCTGCCTCGACCTCCTGAGTTCTGGAATTATAGGCATGTTCCATGAAACCCAACCTAAAAACACTTTTTTTTGAAAATAGAATAAAGAATAAGAATTTCCAATTAAATCATATCTTGCACCTATACACAAAACTTTATATGTGTTTTTGTGATTGGAGTTTATTTTATGACCTTGTTTTACTTTTTGTTTAATAATATAGTGCAGTCAAAGCTCATTAATTGGGTTAAATGAGAGTGATATTGATACATATATCATATACCATACATTACATGTTAGATAATATGCAACGTAGCAGTTTTCTTGTTTAAATACCTATTCACTACATTAGGCTCATTAAACTTAAAGACCTATTAATGTGTTTAGGGAAATTGTTCTGATGAAGGAATAAGAAGCATGTCCATTGTGTACAAATGGTGCTTCTGAACTACTGGAGGATATTTTTAAAGTTTTTTTCTCTTAAACATTACAAATGTTTGACATAATCTTGTTTATCATATTCATTAGCCATTTGCATGATGAGAGGATTTATCCATCTAGGATGAACAGTGTCTCTTCAGTCCTATCCTGGCTAATTAAGTTCCACTACACTCTAGGAATTTTATACAACTGGTAGAGCAAAAGTTGTCATTCTTAGCCGTAATTCACAAACCTCTACCATCCCTTTTTGTGTCTGCTATCTGTACTAATATACTAGAGATACTATATTTTTCACACTTAGTCTTCATTTTCTACTTAATTTGAGGGTCCTCAAGTCATGGTTTATACAAAATAGCCAACATCTGTACCTATTTTTAATAGCATATTGTCACTCTTGGAAGTGTTCCTGCTTGGATGATGTGGGCAACCTATATTCAGCAGAAGTGTGCTTTTTTTTTTCAATACTGGGGATTGAATTCAGGGATTGCTGTGCTACACTCTCAGCCTGTTTTAAATTTTTATTTTATTTTGAGTCAGGGTCCCAGCCTAGCTTGAATGTGTGATACTACAGCCTCAGCCTGCTGAGTAGTGGAGATCACAGGTGTGTGCCAACAAGCCCAGGTAGAAGTCTGATTTCTTGTAAGACTATGTCTCAAAGCCAAGGACCCATTCTCAAACATTTAGTAGTATTCTTTCAGTAGTGGTATGCAGATAAGAATAAGAGTGAGGGGAAGCTTTCCAAAAATATTAAGGAATATTTGGCATAATGATCCTTAAAACAACCAATAGTTCAGTGTTTACCAAAAGCCAGCCATTGTTATATAGGTACTTGACACAGGCCATCTTATCTTACTTCACAGTCACCATGTAAGGTAGATATTACTGGGTATCTACATCTTACAGGTAAGAGAAAGGAAGCACTCAGAGTTAAAGCAAATTGCCTAAGGACAGTCTTCTAATAAGAGGTAGGGCTGGGATTTAAACTTATGCAGTCTGATTCTAGAGTATGCATTCATTATCTTACAATTTCCAAAGAAAAGACATTAGAAGTTAGTGAGAAAAAAATGGTCAGTCCATTGAATCATCAGTGGACATATTGTGAAATGAGTAAAGAAGATAGCTAAAGGAATAGTGCCCTTATAATGTGTTTGCTTTCCCTATTGGCTTGCTTCTGCCAGTGAGTGAAGGCAGGGGAGAGCACCAAAAGTGACACAATCCAATCTCACCTTTTTGGTTCCAATATTACCTTTGGCAACAATGTTTGAAGAAAGTAAGTCAAGTAACTTGCCCAGGATCCTCAACAGAGCTAGCTTTGGAGCCAAGATTAAACCTACTTCCTCTGACCTCGAGTCCTCCACAACTGCAAATCCAGAGCCTTGGGAATAGGTTTCCTCCCAATTTAAGGACCATATGGGTATTAATTAAGCATGTAGAAAATTAAGGTTACAGACCTATAGCATGGTTTGTATTCTGTCTTAATCATGAGCAAAGGTCTGTTCTTCCTGGGAGAGATAAATTTGTGGCAGGAATAAGCTGCCAATTCCAGAGTACTGTGCAACAATGTATCTGTTTCCAGAATTGAATCATCTTGCCACATTGTGTGCTACACTGTTTCCAGTTCAGAAGTAGCACTCCTATACTGAAGTGTTTGCCTATCTTCTGGGAAGCTGTATTACATTTGTTCTCAGCCAACTACCTGTATTTGTCTTTTGATTCCTTTCTGGGATCTTTTTTCCCCTCTAAACCTCCATAAATAAAAATATTCAAAAAATTATTTATTCTACCTCAAAGACACTCACTGTGGTGTGGCAGGTTTTAGTGACATGACCCCATTTCCTTTTTTTTTTTTTTAAGGTGGCCCCATTTCCTTTTTTTTTTTTTTGAGGATGGCAGATTAATATTGCAGAAAGTCAGGTGAGAGATAATAATACCCAGACTTGGGTAGTGGATATGCAGAGACAGAAGTAGATACATATGAGGCATGACTTGGAAATAGAATTGATGGATGTTGCTGATGGATGGGATCTTTACATGGACAAAAAAGAGAACCAAATTTCTGGTTTAGGCAACTTGATAGATGTCGGTATCTTTGTTGAGCTATGAAAGATGAGAAAGGAATGGAACAGACTTGAATAGGGAAATCAGGAGCTTTGTTTTTAAATTTTTCAGTTATATATAACTATTACACATCCAAGTGGAGAAAGCTGTGTTCTCTTGATTATCTTAGCCACACTTAGAACCATTCCTGAAGTCATCTAACTGCTCTTTTTGTAGAAAAATGTGTATATCTCTCCACAATACTTAACCTATTGGTTTATGAAACTCAACACTTTTAAAATCAGAGTCTTATGCTATTTCTGCCCTACCCTATGAAATCTTCCCCATGATGAACTTGTTTTTTGTTTTTGTTCTTTTGGGAAGTACTGAGGATTGAATCCAGGGCCTTGCATATGCTAAGCATGTGCTCTTTCACTGAGCTATACCACAGCCTCCACCTTCTTTCTTATATTGATATATTGATATGACTAGCCTTCCTGTTACTCAGACTTTGTTTCCATTGACTTTCTTTTCATCTTCCTCCCTTTCACCAACATCCAATTAGTAAATAAGTCCTATTGAACCTATATGGTTCATTATTTCTCCCTCTCTGTTCACAATGCTACCAGTTAGCTTAAAAAATCCTCGCTTCTTAACTGGACAGTAGTGGTACTCACTGACTCTAGTCTTTTAATGGCCAATCTTTCCTACACACTGCTGCTGTAGAAATTTTTTAAAGATTTCTGTCTAAGAGTGTCAGAGTATAGATCAGTGGTGAAGTACTTGCCTGGGTTTGATCCCTGCCCCCCCCAACACACAAACAAACAAAAAATTATGTAATGT